ATGCTGATTTGGCCACTGCAGCCACAGAGACACAAACACAGACGCAAACGCAGACGCAGACTGACACCTATGGCGAAGAGGTGGTCGACAAGGCAGCATCAAAGTTCGATCGTGTTGTCGAAGACAAGCAGTATGTAGAAAAGCCGGTGATATTGGAAGAAATCAAAAAGAATGATGCGGAAAAAGAAGCTGTGACGAAGCAAGAAGCTGATAAAATTGCAGCCGAGCAATCGAAGCCAACTGAAACCTCAGAAAGTACTACCACGATTGGTGAGTTAATTGAGCAATTAAAGGAGACTGAAGCTACAGATATTGCCGAAATACCCAAACAAGAAGACGCTTTGGTGGAGAAGGATATTACAAAACGAGAGGACGACTTAAATTTCGAAGACAATGAGACTGTGCATTCGGAGGAGAAATTGCAAAAGCACTACGACGATGATCAAGATGGTAGTATACCCATCAAAGAGGTGCTGGACTCCAATGAGCCAGAGAAAGTTACACTGCCGCTGCAGAAATTAGAGAGCGCGCTTGATACGGCCAACAAGAATGTGGGCGAGATAATGATTGCACTCGAGTCGCACATAAGCTCGGTACGAAGGGTAAGGCAATTTCACTACGTAATGTAAATTAACTAATTTACTAATTAAGTACTTTTTTTTTGTATTTTTATTCTTCACAAAGGCGCTAGGAGCACGTAGCCTATTCCGCAAGGAGGATATCGCACATGCCTTAAGCGCTAACTCCATCACAGGTCGCGATGCTGGTTCCAAGACTAAAATGCTGCTCTTCAATGGCCTGTACTATGCCGGTCTGTGGGCTAAGACATTTAGTCCAGTAGTCTCGGATGAGGATAGCTTCTTCTTCATGACAGCTGAGGATGCGATGAAGGCACCTATGATGCAAACGAAAGGAAAGTTTCACGTTGCTGAATTGGATTATTTGAATGCAAAAGCATTCTGCCTGCCTTATGAGGTAAATTTTAATGCAACTCTACAGCTTTTGTTCGAATTTTTAGTGAATTTAAATTACTAATTTTTCTAGAATAAAAAATATGCAATGATGATTGTGCTGCCGAATGAAACGGAAGGCCTACGCTCACTAATCGGTAAGCTGCAACCCGAAGATCTTAAGAAGGCCAAATCGCTTGCTAAGGAGAAAGAGCTGCGTATCACAATGCCCAAGTTCCAAGTCGATGAAACTTCACGCTCCGAGGCTATGCTGAAGAGCATTGGTTTGAAAAAGCTTTTCGCACGTCAAGAATCTGATCTCAGTTTGTTCTCCGTTGACCCCGATTTGCATGTAGATGAAGTAGTGCAATTTGTTAGTGTACGCGTTAATGAGAGTGGTAGCAGCGAGAATGCTCTCACTGCCTCCAATCCACAGGGTCGCACGTCTGAAGCGTCGGAAATGGAGTCAATCGTAGTTAATCGGCCATTCTTGTACTTCATAATGGACTGTGAGGAAGAATTTGTGATTGCTGCGGGAAAAATTTACAACCCAGAAGTAAAGGAGGAGTCACCGATTTCCGTTGAAGTTGAGTTCGAGCAATCTTAGTTTTAAGCGAACGGTATTATGTCTATTTGATACTCGCAAAATAAGTGAAGGACAGATAAGCTCATTTTGAAATATAAATTTGTTTAAAGTGATTCATGAACAATTCGAATAAAAAAGGAAATTTAAAGAAGATGTGGGTTTTTCTTGA